GGGCCCACTGGAAAGCGGACTCACGTCGCTTGTTCGGGCTGAGCCCGGCCGAGTCCCGTGAGCAAGGACCCGGCCACCAGGCGCTCGCCTGCGAGCCCCAACCCCGGGCCTGGCTCCAGAGTGGGGCCCCGGTGACGCCAATCCGGGCGACGTGAACCTCTTAGCTGTATTTTTCTTCATCACAAAGGGGGGGTTGAACCGCTATTTGTCTGATCCGTCGCCTAGGACCTGTTTGCCTTGGGAGACCCTACCAGGGGCGTTAAGCCCCCGACAACATAGCTCCTAGGTTCATTCGGATACTCAAACCCCTCCACCACGTTAAGGTTGCGATTCAAGGAGAGGCCTGTGTAGACTTGTAAGTTCCAAACATATGAGGAAGTGGCATCACAGGCAGCCCAGATCTTTATACCATACTTTGCAGGTTTAGATGGTATATACTGCCGAAAGCAGCGGCCCCTAAATGGCACCAGCTGTTCATCAATGGTGACTTTTGGCCCAGGGTTGTACAGCAGGGGGAGGCGGCGCACCCACTTGTCCCACACTGTCCTGATGGCAGCTAGTTTGTCTCTCTGCCGTCAAGCTGGTCTGTCATCTCGGTTGTCAAAGCGGATAATCCTGGAAATGATGTGAAAGTTTTCCAGAGACATTTTTGCACGGAAAATTTCTCTGCCAGTTTCTGCATCCCACAGGGATTCTGCGGATTCCCCTTTGGACCTGAAAACTCCAGCAAGGATGAGAACTCCGAAGTAAGCATGTAATTGGGTTTGGTCCATTTCCTTCCATCTCTCTCCAAAAACACGTCTTCCTTCTAAATTAGTGCAGTCAAGAATAATTTCCTGGATGGAATCTGTGATGAATACCTCAAAAGAAGACTTGATGTCCTGTGTGTGAGTAACTGCCATCCGTGTTGGCCCTGGTTGCATCCTTATCACATTGGCAGCCTTGGGGGTGGCTCTTTTCTTGGGCGAGAAGACCATTCAATTTCAGAATTTTTTGACATCCATATTTCCTCACTTGCTCCATGCTGACTGGCTTGTTCTGGGCCTGGGGCTGGCTGCTGACGGCTTGGTCCTGGGGCTGGCTGCTGACGGCCTGGTCCTGTGGCTCGTCTTTGTTTTGTAACTGGCTGATGCTCGATCTCATCATCTTTTTCAGAGTCACTGTCAGACTCTAAATTTTCAGAAATGTGATCCTCAAACTCTGAAACCTCTTCTTCTGAATCCTCACCCTCTACATCATCATCAAAAACTTCTCTATCTTCCAAAATCAATTCCAGGGCCCTCTGCGCAGAGTACCTTTTGGCCATCTTGATCGGTTGTGATAAGAAACCACACTGGCAAAGCTTTTGTGTTTCTGCACCTGCGGTTCCCACACAAGGTTGCAACATTGTTTGTCAACACTGCTCTCATTTTCTCGCACATTTGACCCTCTGATGTTCTGTGTACCTACACTCTGTCCTCCTCCTGTCTAGGCTTGCTGTGTGTGTGTGTGTGTGTGTGTAGGTGTGTGTCTGCGTGTGTGGGTGCGTGTGCGCGTGTGTGTGTGGTACACAGAACATCAATTTCCACACTCCTATTAGCCCCGGGTCCAGTGGACCCGAACATCTTATATGTAATAGAAATGTGTAGGGGGGTGTATGGTGTGTGGTCATTAAATATGTATTCTGATATATGTTCTTCACAGAAAATGAGCCAAAGCCAGTGAGTCTCAGTTTGAAAAATTTAATAATTTTATCATTTTTCTTTTATTAAAAAGTGAAAACGGGTCCCACAGACCCGAACACCACACAAGGGTTAACAAAGTACCATACCGGGACTTTAGATACTGTAGCTCTTCCTCTGAAAGAACTAGCAAGAACAGCTTTTTCTCTTGTTCACAAACAAGATGATTCTTAGTAAAAGACACATCTGTCTTGGACCTGTTACAATCCTTAGAATCAGTAGAACGACCATCACTAACCTCTATATAACATAAAAACGTCTCTGACAGACCAACAAAGTCATCCTCTGAATTAACCACAATATTCTTTTGTATTGGCCATCTTTTTCACCGCACAAGAAGGAACCACATTGGGATTCTCTTCAACAACAGGGTTAATTTCTGTGTGGGACTGGCTCAGAAATCAGAGACACACCTTTGACCGGTAGAGTGGGCCTAACACCAACAACACGAATGAGAATGACTCATTTGTTTGATAACATCACTCTTTTTATGAGGGCTGGATTTGTGAGTCAACACATAGTCATCTGCCAATGATTCAACTTTATGCTCATTGAGATTTTTTGAAGTTTTTGAGAAGTTTTGAGATCATCATGCACACATCTTTTAAATTATTTAACCAAAATTGTTTGTGTCAACTTTTCCAAATCCTTAACTTTCCCAGGATCATACCATGTATAAAAAGTTTTGTTATGTACCATCTCATACACCTTGAGAATACTCGCCTTTACCACTTGGCAGTCTTCAGTTTTATCTGCAGAAGGTGCAGTGTACACTGCCTAGGCTTTATCTTTAAGTACTATATACAATTTTTACAAAATCCTCAAGCTCAGCCATATTTTTGTTACAGTAACAAAAATATGTGGCTCATCAAATACAGTTTAATTTTGATCTCATCCCTGACTGGCCCCCAATTTATGTGACGGACTAGTAAGCAGTCAGTAACACTGCGAGATACTGTAAGGGAATGTTCAAGAATATTTTAGAATATTTGGTGTGTGAGTCAGACACAAGCACAACAAACCGTATTTAACTCTAGCTATTATTTATTACAAAAACACAAAATGAAACTACAAACACATAGTACAATAATAAACAATTATCACTGTTACTACCTTGAAGCATAGTCTATCTGATGTATAGAATGATGAATCTTTCCTGACGATGTCCTTTCCTGCGTTATTATCCAGGAGTGAATACTACGCGCCCGTTGAATTGTCAGCATGGAACATGGAACCAGAAAGTATAAACACAATACACAATGCTCCAATATCTGGTTGTCAATCATGGGTTGGAACAATTACACTAAAACATATTCACTGTCCTGAAGACGTCTGACGTAGCGGTTCAATCTGCTGTAGCAATCCAAATTTATAGCAGTCCAAGAGGTGTAGCAAGTCCTGTCAATAACTGCTGGTGCGAAATTTATATGAGAGTAGAAGGAAGTTCAGAATGTTCTGGTTGGGATTCTCAAAGTCTATGGAAATTCCCAGACATTTCATGAAGGTTCAGGTAAATTCTTGGTTTGTCTACTGTTACTGTATGTAACAGAAACTAGAATGTTCTAAATACAGATAAAGAATCATTGTGGCCTGAACCAAATCATCACAATGTAAACATCATTATGTATGTTATATAATATTTATAAAAATGCCAGGTAGAAAAGACAAAAACACTTGTTTCAAAAACATATTTAGCTAAATGTTGGTGATTAAGTACAAGTAACAACAACTACAAAACATAATGTCAGTCGAAACATTGTTAAAAAAACAACTTTTATCTCAACAGATCACATCTCAACTCACCACACAAGTAACTAGTAATAACAAATAATAAAACTAATACAGCCAAAAGTTGTTATATTTTTTAAAGCAAAACATTATATAAAAACTATCAGAAATAAAACAAACAAACAAAAACAAGCCAAATATATTGTAATCCCATAACTAAAAATTAGATGAGCTATTTCTAAGTCCTAGTTTTGACACCTCCCCTTCCTACTGAGCTACATATCTATAAGTTGCAAACAGAAGCTCCCGAGATAATGTTAAACTGACACATGTAGCAGAAATGAAGTTTCAAGTTTCTAATCAAGTTTAAAGACATGTCCTAAGTATACAGTCACAACAGTGCTTTAGAAAAGAACGTTTGATGTAAATCATGTTGAAAACAATTTAGCAAGATGACTCTCTTTTTATGTCACAGTACAAAGTAAAAAAACATTTGAACCATATACTAGGAGACTGAAACTCAAGCCCTTTGGAGATTATTATAAATGATCCATGATAAGTGTCTGCGAGATCTATCCAAAAATAGTTACACTATACATCTGACCTAACCATCAGATTTTAATACGTTTTTACCTCAATGTGTGTACTGTATTTTTAATTGTAATGTGACACAGCAAACCATAAAACGTATTATGGATTACAACTGAGGTTTGTGGCACAGACAAGTGGGTTTCGAACAGAACCAAGTAAATGAAACTGACAAAAAAAAAAAGAAAAAAAAAAGGCGGGGAATATTACATTACATTTGTTATATATATACATATATATTATTACACTACATTTGTTATATATATACATATATATATAAAACAAGATTGATTTCTGAAGTCCTTAGAATTTATAACATTACTTTGCATTTTATCATTCATTTTAATTATTTAAATGATCAGTTTTCTGTTTTTGAGCGCATTACAGTTATTACAGTTATACTTTTTGCCTAGTTTAATATTTTTCAGATGTTATTTTAACTTTATTTGGGACTATTCGTTCCACTCAGTCAAGGCTGTCTTTCCTCAGCTTATTGAGTTTAATGCAGCTACTAGTGAGGTGTCGTTCGCGAGTGATTCGTTCAAAATGAACGAATCTTTCATATGAAAGATCCGTGACTCGCCGTGACTCACAAATCACTCACTCATAGTTTAATTGATTATGGTATTTTGTGTACTTTTTAAACCATCTTGCCTTTAGTATTTAGTGTCGAAGAACCGCAGCCTTTTTTACAACGCCCACAATAGGGCTAAAGCGCCACCTGCTATAAAACGAATGAAATTATTCGTTCAAGATTCGTTCACGACTCGTCTATTTTACAGTTCGAGAGTCAAAGATGCGAATCAGTAAAAAGAATCGATCTTCCCGTAACTAGCAGCTACTGATCACTAACGCACTTCCTGTTCATGATGCGGTAATTCGAGTTTAATGCGTATCTCATTGGACCACGCAACAACTATATATACGTCATTGACATATGCCCCGCCCATATGGGGCGGAGGGGCAAACTTTTTTGTTCATAGTTATTTTACACCTGTGACCGAAGTCTTTCCTTTAAAGAGGCTGGAGACATGTTTTCGGTCCCGGTATTATATCGCATGGAGAAACTTAAAGAACGCGTTTTTCAAATTATAAACTGAAGCATGGAAATGTTGTTTATGGTAAGTACTTTTTTCCCCTTTATAGAGAAGCGTGAAACAGAAAAAAAAGTTCTGTGACACCGATCATTTCTGGGTTAGTGTGGGGTTTAATGTCGAGATAATGGATGGCTTCTTTTTTACTTCGTCTTCTATCTTTCTTTTAAGCTAATTTTAATAATTTAAACGTGGAGACTTTCTCCCCACTACGCATTCTGTCACCCATGTGCGTAAAGAGAAGTGTGAAATTCCTCTTAACCTCTCTCGGAAGGTGTTTGTGTATGAGAGAGACCTTGCATTATAATCTTTAATAAGTAGGTCACCCTTAGAAAGTTTTCTCAGCTAACATTAACTAACGTTAGCTGAGAAAACTTTATCGCTTGGCCTTATTTTATATGTCTCCATCTTAAAGCACACTGTATTAGAAATTATCATTTAAATTTCAATTCAGAGTATTTATCACAAATTCCATTGCAAGTGTTTTTTGGCAACTCACTGGCACAAGGTACATCATTTGTCGTTCATATCTTTTATTTAGAAATTATCATTTAAATTTCAATTCAGAGTTACATCATTTGTCGTTCATATCTTTTATGAAGTGTTTGACTGATGACCAAAACATTTTCCTTTCAATTTAACTTGGTAAACAAGTCTTTTCTGATAAAAAGGGAGTGGCTCTTTCAAAGGGATTAATGCTATCATCAGTTAATATTTCATTTAACAAAATAGTGTGTCTGATTTTTCACTTAAACTAATCCAACTTTTCATAGCAATAATCATATTGTACTTTAAAGTCATCATCTTTGGTAAATGTGGGATTTAAATATTTAAGAACTATGGCTAAGTCTGCAAATAACTAAAAAGTATTTATTTTTAAATGGATGTATTTCCTTTTAATAGACTATATCTCTGATTGCTGCTTTCGCATCCACAACGGCCCTTCCTCGTCTAGACTTTGGAAATAACAGAACTCAACGCATTGCTCACTGCACTGATGGCCTGGAGTACAAACATAGTGACATCTGTTGCCTTCTCTGTCCTGCTGGTAAGATACTCAAAATGATGCTAATCAGTACAATGATAGAGGAGAGTGGGTAAATGTATTGAATGTGTCTACCCAGCTGCTGTAACAATGGAATTTCCGAAGGGGGTTCAATAAAGTCTTATCTAATCCAGCGGGGGTTCTAAACCAGTTTTGCTGAGTGGGCCTGGGTGGATCTGGGGGGTTTAAATGGTTCAAAAGATCACATTTTAAACTAGGTATAAAAAAGTGAGAACATTTTTTAACCATACCTACAACTTACATTGCCTGCCTTACTATTACAGCAATTGTATTCTGGGTTTTCAGAAATTCAGTTTTGTGTATGGTCACCAGGTACACATGTGAAATTACACTGCACCAAACCACACAACAAAGGAGTATGCGAAGAATGCGACTATGGAGCCACATTTATTGAACACATGAATGGTTTCACAGAGTGTTGGAAGTGCACGACATGTCGCTCAGGTAATTCTGCTCAACACCACTGCAGTATTGTTTGGACTCGCTGTGGAGGAAGCAAAATCAATATATTTTTTAAAGTGCTCACAGCATTAACTGAGATCTAACAAGCATTCCTTTTCCCACACCTCAGATCAGGAAATTGTAAGGAAATGTTCATCCACTCAAGACACAGAATGTCAGTGCCGATTAGGAAAGTTCTGTTCCCCTGATCAGCCATGTGAGGTGTGCAAGAAATGTTTGAGGTGAGTTTATTTGATTCATTCTGTTTAATTTATATTTGGTGATGATAAACAATTAGTTAATTTGAGCAGCTGGTCTTCCTGTCTCTTTAGCTCCTTCATATCTTAACTTTTGTTCTTGTGTCTCTCTCCCAACTAGGTGTGAAAAAGATGAAGAGATAGTGAGGAACTGTACTGCCACCACCAACACTAAGTGCAAGAAAATCCAGCAAAAGTCGGACATTTCCTCAGGTGCAATGAAAGCTCCAAAATCGTTAGCTTTAAAAGAGACACTAGTCATCGCTTAATATAATTTGCAGAATGCAGTAGTTTCTACAACCAAATAAGAGTATATCTAATAAAGAAACCTTTTCCAAAAAAACAAAACAAAATCAAAGACAGCCAAAATCAATAGTCTAAAGTCAGCAGTAACAGTATAGTGACATTGATGAGATATTGACTCGGAGTAGTTGCTTAACATTCGTCAGTCTGACTCTTTTCCCATGACTATGTGATTTTGCATGTGTTTAAGTTTGTTGTTTTGTTAGCTTAAACATACATGCCTGAAATCACCTTTTCTAAACAACAGACAGAGAACTCAATTGATATGTGTCTGTAGCTTTGCAGAATCTGTTGTTGATATTAATGATTACCTTCTCTGATGGGAACAAGTTGACGTGTTGGTTAATTTGCCAGTGCTTACTAAAAATGTTTGATTTGTTTACATGAAGACATGTCAAAAATGGCTAGTTTCTGTGGTGGAAATTCAGTTGCTATTTCTGTTTCCTGTTCCCAGTACTAGCTGTTGTAATGTAATTAACATCCACACTCAGATCATTAGGCTAAGGCACACCTTTTCTAATTAGGAGATGTCATTGTCTCAACTAAAATTATTTGTGTTTTAAATAATCCTGATAAAGTGATAATATTTAGGTTTTTTTTTTGTGACTGTGCTGGTTTTGTTGGTTGCAGTAGTACAGTCTTTGTGCTTATACTGTTTTGTGGCCTTCATTTGAGATATTTGTTTCCTTTTCTTTTTAATCAGACAGCAGTGCTATGATTATAGCAGCTTTGCTGCTTTCTGCTGGTTTCATTGTTGTCGTGGTGTGTGCATTATGCTGGTGGAAGAGAAGACACAGCAAGCCAGGTACGTAAAATCCATGTATTATTGTACATGTGCACATGCTGATATTAAGGCTGCTAAGAATCTCACATTTCAAATCCATTTCAATTCTGTAGGTCACAGTACAACCTCACTGTACATTTTATTCAATATTGATCAAATCCTTCAATATCAATTCAGTAACAAGTAGGAATACACAAAAAAGTGTAAAGATGGTTTGGTTGATAGTATGGTATAATTTGCTGGTATTTATAGCTTTTGGCCACTGGGAGACAGAATCAGAATAACATAATTATCTACATCACTGGGAGACATTGGTCAGAATCAGAATAACATAATTATCTACATGCCATTAGAAATAAACAACCAAGGAACAGCTGAATTAAACACTTTAGTCAATTAACATCAAAAAGCTGCAAATGCAAAAGGTAAACAATAGGCAGACAACCATTAACATCTCACACTCCTGTAGTTATAATAAATAAATAGATAAAGGCACAGCAGCTCTCACATAATCTTAATGACGAACTGCTCATGGCAGGACCAAGGCACTGCCAACTAATGGAGTAGAAGCAAGCTCCTGGTCAGTGCACAAAGTGGTTATGTAGGTGCCCCTCTCCAGCAGCAAGGGACGCTGCTCAGCACTGAACTTCAACACAAGGGGCTTGAGTCAATTCAGAGGTTCTCTAAACCAATATTGAATTTGGGGGGAATGAAAAGCAGTGCAGTGCTGGATGTTTTAAACCTGGTTGCCTTTTTTGTCCTGATTCTCTTTATCTTTTTTATTAGCCTAAATTGTAAAATGGATGAGTAAGACTGATTAGACTGATATAACGGGTTAACACACACAGGCTGCCCACCATACCTTGAATCTTTCTGGTACTTCCTTGGCACAAAACACAGTGTAGCTGGTCTGCAAGTGAGCAGAATGACATAGAGCACTTGTACTGATGACGTTGTATTACAATAACAAACATTCCTAAAATTAATGCTAATAACATGTTAACTTGGAAGTTGTTCATGTTGAACAACTATTCGAAGGAATTGAACCATGAGGAATAATTTTTCACTTACATGTGCATGTCCTTTGCACATGGTTATATAAGTTATATAAAATTAATAGAAGCCACCTTAGAAAATCTTGAAATATCACAAAAATGATCAAAA